GTTGCGTGAATTTTTCTGCTCGATATTTTTTTGTACTCGTATGCATCTTAGCTGGATTTTTTTTTTAAATCTCTGTGCTCTTGCACGACATTTTTTTCTCTGAAAACGTTTAATGAATACCAAAAGCCCAGCCTTTTATGTACTATTTAGAACATGAGCAGCAGTGTTTTATCAGATATAAAGATACGAGGCGAACCGAGTATTTTAGGTCTGATAAAACACGTACTGTGAACAGGGACGTAAGCGAAACATCTGAAGTTGGGGGGTGTTGGAGCATTTCACCTGAAATTTGAACTTCAACGTTACAAATTTACCCTGAAGTGTAATAATAATAATAAAGCTCTTTGTGATTGATTTGCTCTGTCATACTAAGTTTCTTGACAAAAAAGGGGTCTGGGGGTCCTTCCCCAGAAAATTTTAACATTTTTGAAGCTCTATAGGACTGCATTTCTGGCGTTTTCTAAAGCTAATTCGCAAACGAATTGGATGTAAATTTACTGTATTTTACAAAAATGGTTATCATTTCACAAAAATAATGACTTTATTACGCAAATTATACCTGAAATGTCAAAATTTGAAGTTGAATTTTACCTGATTTTGCCTGAGTTTCACTACTACAGTTCGCTACATCCCTGAAAGCGAATGTTTTAAATTGCTTCAAAAACGATCCATCTAGTAAGTTCATTGGCGAAGCAAGTTTATGTAAATCAAGGGAATTAATCTCTATCACATATAGATACGACACGCGCTTATGATTTTTTTTGAAAATATTCAAATGACTTCGTGATTTCAGCTAATTTCAATCCACAACCCTTGACAATGGGTTATGCACAAAACTTTTCGAACGTAAACACATGCAACATAATGCAACATTAATATGATTAATGATGAAACCGCTGCACATACATACGCGTGCTCAAAATCATCCTGACAAACAAAAAGTGAGATATATGTCAAGAATGGGGGCTGCTCGCAGGCTCTCGCAGCAACAATTAGACAACTCAGGCCCCGATTACACTATACCGGATTGCATCGAAGCGACGCGATTTCTGTACCGGATTGGCCTCTTGTTTACACTACGCCATGCCACTGTAATCCGGTACGTGCCACGGCGCGAAAATCACTTCGCTTTGAAGGTGATATGAAAAGTAATTGTACCGGATAAAACCAAGTGTAATCAGGCAATCCAGTACGCTCCGGTACTATAAATAGGTTTCGGCAAGTATATTTTAACACTGTCGTTTTATTTACTCGCTTTTAAATAT